GGCCTGACAGGGTCCCCCCTAATGGTCCCATAAATCCCGGCCATAAAGAGTAATGGGGGGAGACAAATGAGATAATTACGAATAAATCTCATTCAGGTCTCTATTCATCAGCATCCCTACAACTGGCCAATCTTCCAAGCCATTAGCCGTGTTTCTAATTAATGCTGAGCGGCCCAGCTCTGTGGAGGTTCCCTGCCTGGGAGGGGCCTGGGCTGAGGGACACCATTACCTCCCCTCTCCCACAGCTTGTGGCTGTGACCTTGGTGGGAGCTGAGGGTTGTGTAGCCTGCCGTTTCACCTCTTCTGAGCCCCACTGCTTTTCATCCTCTGCCCCCATCTCCCCATGTACCTGCGATGCCTGTGTTTCTCTTGTCAGATGGCCACTGTCCACGGTGTTGGGCCATGGGAGGTCTGTGTTTAGGAAGGACTGGGAGAGCTCCCTCACTAGCCCCTTGCTCTCTGACGTTCCTCCAAGCCCCCAGGCAGCACTTGAGCAGGGACCCCATCCACGCTCCTGCCCCCAGAACAGATCTCATCCACACCTGTTGTAGTCCATTCCATTCGGAACCGTTCCACCTTGTAATAGAGAACCTTCTCTCTTGCCTGGAGCTGAGGAAACTCTGCCTGTCCTGCTTGCTTTGGAATCCCCCACTCCCTACTGGAGCCTGATCGTCAGCTTTTCTCTCCTCCCAAGCCCCTGCCTGTCCGAGGCCAAGGTCACTGACTTCTGCCCTGAGGCATGTTTGACATCCCTGGGGTCTGGCATTTCATCAGCACCCCTCCACGGCAATCTGACCCACAATGGTGTCTGACACCTTAATCTTTCCTCCTTTTACATCACAGCAGCCCCTACTTCTTCCGGTAGCTTCCCTACATTCTACAAGATTTTGGAGTGGCAACCAAGTAACCCAACCTCCCTGACTAAAAAGAATGACCTGTCATTGGGTTGGCCAATCACGGTCCGCCATGTCCTGGCACATGCTGGACCAATCCCAGTCTTGCCCTGGCCTTTGCGATGCAGCCCCCCTGAGGCAGTGACCGTGGGAGACAGGCAGGTGGAAGAGGTGTGTGTGTGAGCTCACGTTGGCTCCCATCTTTCTGTGGGATGAAGGACTGAGGCTCCTCCCCAGAAAGCAGAAACCTAGAGACAGGGTCTGGAAAAGGGCATAGTCCCAGGGGAGAGGGCGAGGGTGGGCTTTTCTCTGCAGTAGGTAAAGGGTGAGAAGAGTGGCTGGGTGACAGAAAGGCTGTGTTTGCAGATCCATCCTGTTCCATGGTCCTCATCATCCAAAGAAAGGCCAGCAAGGACAGGAGCATCAGCACAGAGAGGACAAGCAGCAGGGTGGGGGGGCGCTGTGGCCTTTGCTCCCTAAGTGCCTTTTCCCCACCCTGCCTCTTCCAGACCCCTCCATGCATGGGGTCTGTCCTGTGGGCATGGCCTACCATGGGCAAGGCTGCACCTGCTGCACAAGCCCGGGTTGTTTAAAGCTGTCCTGTGCTACAAGTGGCAGGCCAGGAGCTCACATTGCCCAGCTCTGGGTATGAGAATAGAAGATGCTTATTACATACAGAGAGAAGCTAACGGGGGATGTGGGGGAAGGCTGGCTTGCTCTCCCCTCCCATGCCAGCCCCTGGCTCAGCTACCTGCTGCATTCAGAGGCAGCAGCTCTTAGCGTTGGTGGGCAAGATCCCGGCAAAATCATAGATGACGGGCTTATCCCTGTGTCTCAACTGTGGACTTCTTGTCTTGATTTAGTGGGTCAATGAGAAGGGGGTAGCCCCTCAAAGGTCACCCCCACTATCCTGGACCAGTCTGCTGCTCCCAGGAAGAAGACAAGAGGGTCCTCCCAGACAAGAGGGTCATTCCATACCCCTAGATGCCAGGCAACCATTGGACTTCGAAAGATTTGGTGCTATCCCAGGGCACAGGCCAGGGGTTCAGGGCCCATGGCAATGCCACCTGCTTGGAAAATAGGGGTTCAGAGTCCCAGAAGAACCACCATGAAGGAGAGAAGGGTTCAGAGCCGGGTACCTGGGTAGGCGTGAACTCTGCATGGATGAGGGCCCAGGTGAGCAAGATGGAGGACTGGGCAGGGTGAAGGAGGCATGGCTGCTGCAGTCCAGACTGGCCAGGGCTGGGATTCCTCCAGTGTGAGATGTTGGACTGGCATCAGGTGCAGTGGTCAAGTTCCTAACTTGGACTTTAAGTTGTGCTGGAGTGCTTGGTTTGAGTCTTGGCTCCTCCACTTCTTATTCAACTTCTCCCTGACACATCCAGAGGCAGCACAGCTGCCAGTTCCTGGCCAGTCACAGCTCTAGGCTCTCTGGACCCCTGGCTTGACCCAGCCCTGGCTGTTGAAGGCATTTGGAGAGAAAAGCAGCAGATATAACATCTCTCTGCTTTTCAGATAAAATGAAAATAAATAAAAAAGGATGGGAAATGTGTGAGGGTATGAGGAGAGGAATTTAAAACATTTGTGGAAAGTGGAACTAAAACATAAGTATATTTTGGCACAAAAACATTTAAGTCTACGTATGACTCCTTTTTTTTTTTTTTTTGCAATTTTTCATGTGCTTTTTGAAGTACTTTGTGTTCCTATGGACCTCAAATTGCTGGCAGCAAAATAAACTTATCCTTTAATACCATTTTCCATGAACGTCCTTGAGTCCCCTCAAATGTGTACACATATATGTGGTGTGAGAGTACATAGGTGGTTTGTGTATGCTGCACAGAGAATGTATGTATGTTTACTGTATATGTATTTGTATATTGTACTGTGCATTTATGTACATACGTGTGTGTGTGTGTGTGTGTGTGTGTGTGTGTGTGGATTGGCTGAATCCTTTTGCTGTCTGGCCCCACCCTCTCAGCCTCTCGGGTTTCAGCTGCTGGCCTAAAGAAAACAGCAGGCAGACTGCAGCAGGAAATCGCTGTTTGGATTACACTGGGCGCTTCTTCCTGCCCCAGCTGTGGTGGGGTTGAGGGGAGGACGAGGGGGCTTCCTGCCCACCTGAACTAGACATCAAGTTGGTCAGGACACAAACACACACATCTCTTCTCCCACCCTGGTCCTGCTCTAGCTAACATCCCTGACACTGGAAGGGAGATGTCCCAGGGCCATCAGCTTGTCACCCAGAGGACGTGGGCACCCAAGATTGGGTCCCTACCCATCCAGCCCTGGCCAACTGATCAGGCAGTCATGCCAATGTTACATAAACACATACACTCAGACTGTCCTGCTGCTGTGGCTCATTCAGGCACAAGGGTCTAGCAGCACAGGGACAAAGAACTGTGGGGTGGGCCCAGCCTGCCAACGAAACTGCAAGCTGTGCCTCCACATGCTGGAAGGAAACCACCCACCCACCAAATGCAAGTGATAGGAACAGGGTGCCAGACAGTGTGTGCCTGAGCCTCAGTGTATAAAGCAGAAACCCCATGTGAGTGTGAATGTTAGCCTCTTGCATTCTGGATATGTGATAGCTCAACAGAAACTGTGAACCGAAATGAAGGACCCAGCCAGAGAAGCCAACCCTGGAGGCTTAGGGATGGAGCCCAGTGGCTTCCACCCAGCCCGACCATCCGGCCCCGGGCAGGTCCTCTCCCTCCAATGTGCACAATGTGTTCCATGGGACACAAACCTGCAACGTGGCCCAGGCAGGGCTGTACAACCGGGACAATGATTCTTACGGGGGGCTTGGATTGCCATCAGTCTTTTTGGGTCCCTTCCTGTCCAGCCTTTATTCCTGGAATTTCCTGGTGCCCCCACGTTTCCAGGCCTTCCTTGGGACACTCCAAGTCTCCTTGAACCAAGTGACACTCCCAGCCAGCTCCAGCTGCACTCCCCACCGCCCCCGAGCCAGGATCCACACTGGAACAGAGCAGCCCTGCTGTCGCTGGTCGCTCCTCCTCTGTACCCCAGGGGTGCAAAGCATACCCTCCTGCCTTCTCAGCCCTGTGACAAGTGAGGTTTCACTGAGACTGGGTGTGTGGCCCTTCACCAAAGCTGGGGTACAATCTCAGGCCATGTGCCAGGCTTGGAGGGAGGGTAACCTGCTGCCCGCCTCTGTGGCTGACATGGTGTCACCCCATGTCTTGAGGCTTCAAGGGAGGAAAAGAGCCTGAGGATCTGGATGGGCAGATTAATTCATCAAAACCTGAGCACATCTGGTGTTAATTAATCCCACGTCAAAGTTAACTCTTCCTTGTCTGGGCTCACCTCCCATTAGCAGAAAGGGACAGATGAAAAATCTGTACCTGCTTACTCCCTCCCCTTGCGGGGGTGGGGGGATATGAAGAAGCAAGCAGAATGGGCAGAACCAGGGCAGGAAAAGATGCAGAAGGCCCCACAGAGCAAGGCCTGGGCGAGGTGGGTATTTGCTCCTGAGAGGGGTGGTGCCTGACAATTCCCTGGAGTCCTGGAGACATCCAAGAGGAGACTCTTTTATTTACAGCAACAAATAGAACAGACCCCACCGCCCCCTTCCCTCCCTCACCCCTTCCAGTCTTTTCTAGAAAACAGTGCCTCCCCCTTAACTCCACCCCCAGCCCAGCCCCTCAGGTCACGGCTAGGGTCAGGGCTCTGCAGCTCTGCAGGAGCCCAGGAGAGGAGTAGGGGAGAGGCTGTCCCAGGGCTGGGCAGATGGCTGTCTCTTTTCACATTTTGCTGTCCTCCAAGCCTGGAGCAGCAGTGGGGTGGCCCAGGGGTGGCGGGAGGTAGAGATGCATAGAGGGGCACTCGTGGCTGCCTGGGTCCTCCCCTAACTTTCACAGTGTTCTGCAGCCCCGGCAGCTGCCCCTGGGTTGGTCCCCCACCTGCTTCCCATCCATCTATTCCACTAGGCCCTTGGTGCGATTTGTCCCTGGTGGCCCACCCGGACCTGTGGGTTTCTCTGCCAGGCTGATTTGGTTTCTCAGCACCCCCTACCCCCCAACTTCCCCTTCTCATTGGGGCTGAGGAGGGTGGCGGGGAGAGGACCAGCTCTTGCATGTGCCAGCCCTGGAGGGTCAGGAGGAAAAGCAGAGCCCACAGCACTCCATGCAAATCTCTAGGCAGTCTGCAGACTCGCAGCAGGCGTCCAGGATGCCGCAGTCCAGGTCGCAGGGTAGGTCGCAGTCGGCACACTCGCCGGAGCCGCAGCAGCAGCAGCAGAGGCACGAGTCCTCGGAGCTGCAGGAGCCGCACGTGGCGCAGTCCAGGACGATGTTGCACAGCGTCAGGAACTCACAGAACAGGCAGGACAGAATGCAGTGGACACAGCAGTCTGCGGGGGGAGGTGGGGCCAGACAGGCAAGGGCATGGGAGACCAGCCATGGCAGCCGTGGGTGGACGCTGAGCATCTACTGTGTGTCCCTCTGGCCTGCCAGGTGCTCAGCTTGCACTAGGCGCATGCAACCCACCCACAGGAGAGTGCGAGGGGGACAGCTGATGGCTGGTGACCTGTTTATGGCACAATAAGGGGAACCTAAGTGAAGGGCTCTGAGATCAGGCAAGCTGGTCGGCCTGTATCTGCCTCTAACCACACTGTTCACAAATGCAACAGTCATCCAAAGGATGGGTGTCCCATGCACCACTCTGTGCTGAGCATGGACCAACCTTGCTGCAAGTGCCCGCAGCTCTGCTAGGTGGGGACTATTAGTAGCCTGGTACTGCCGGTAGGTTAACTGAGGCAGGGAGCAGTCACTTTAAAATGGGAGAGGGTCTTGCAAAAGTCCCTGGAAAACGCACATTGTGAAAATCAATATGCATAAGCTCCAACTATTTTTTGTACGCAAAATAACCCACCTTGTCGCTTTCTCTTGGATCTTTGGAAGGCTTCACATGTGCTGGAATTCCACTACTCTGCCTGGCCCTCTTGGGGTGGGAGAGGGATAGCAGCAGCCTCTCCAGGTCCCCTCCCAGGGTCGGCTGTTTCCACAGCTGCTAAAGGACTCCTGAAGCACCCTCCCTTGGGAACCCATGCCTCTTCTAGCCAGGGCTCTCCACCGGCCCCACCTCCCTGGGAGGAAAAGCTGCGGCCCTAGCCCCTCCCAGCCCAGCACCGCCATGCCTTGCCCTCCCCCAGGAATCGTGTGACCTCCCACTCCACCATGATTTCCTTTCTGTGACTGCCAGCTCCTGCACCTGAAGTATAAGCTCCTCCAGGGCAGGCACCGTTCTCCCTGGTTCACAGGGCCTGGCACATGGCAGGTGCTCAATGCATTCAAAAGTGCTAATGAATTGGGGCCCGGTGTTGTGGTATAGCACGCTTAAGCCTCTGCTCATGACACCAGCATCCCACATAAGTGCAGGTCCTAGTCCTGGCTGTTCTACTTTCCATCCAGCTCCCTGGGAAGGCAGAAGATGCCCCAGAAAGGGCCCCTGTCACCTGTGTGGGAGACATGGAAGAAGCTCCTGGCTCCTGGCTTCGGCCTGGCTCAGAGTAGTGGTGGAGCATGCAGCCTGACCTCAGCAGGCTGGCTTCAGAGCCCGCACTCTGAACCCCTCAGAATGCTTCCAGGTGCTGAGCTGGCATCCCGTCTGAAGGTCAGGACACAGAGTAGGCCAGGGCCGCCAGCTCTCTGCAGCGGCAGGTCTGATCCTGTCCTACACGGCAGGGCTCTTGCACGAGGGGAACCATCTCTGTGTGTGGAGGTGATGACATGGCTGCCTTATTTCAGAGCCTTCAGTGGCTCTGTATGGTTGTCCAGACAGAGCCCAGGTTTGCTGCCTGGCTTGGAGCCCTGACCTGCCTGGAGTCTCACCTTGACCGTGCTGCACTAGCATGCGTGTCCACCTGTGTCCAACTGTGCTCCAGGACCCTCGTTGAGTGGGTTTACCTCGCACTTGCCACACCGGGTGGGATGACCTGCCTCTCTCTCACATGGGGCTGCGTGAGGGTGTCATCTGGACACTTGACATGCTTGAATATCCCTTCCTAAATAGAAGACAGTTGGGGGTCACCTGCTCTGTGGAGTGGGAAGGTTTCTGAGCATTCTGTGCACAAATCTCATCTACCCATACGAGGCTCCTTCCACGTGGCAGCATTTCCTTTAGAAGTCTGGGGTGAAGGTCAGGCCACAGGCAGCTGGCTGTCCACATAGCCCTGCAGAGGGTCTTTGTGTTGGAGGAGCAGCGCTGGCTGCTAGAGCTGCATGCTATAATCTGCAGCACCTGGAACCACCCCAGCTCTCTAGCAAGCCTCGTCTTATTCTGCTAAGTACTCTTCTGCTGTCAATATTAAACAGACGGCCCATTCCTCCAAGGAAAACCCAGTTGGCAAGAGCTGAGTGGCCCTTGTGACAACAGCTGTGTCAGAGCTGGGATGATAAGGGTGCTCACAGGTGAGCCCAGAACCTGGGATCCAGGGGGCCCTTGGAGGAGGCTGTCAGCCTGCACTTGTAACCATTGCCTGGCCCAGATGTGACCCCGGCCCCTGAGCATGGAGGAACTCCACTCCTGGTTGAGTTGGGATTGGGGGATGGTGGTGTGTTGGGGGTTCAGTGTTTACCTTCCTGTGCCTGAAGCGGGATTTGGGAGGCGGCTGATCTGGTGCTGCCCTTGCTTTTCTTGCTGCCCTGGCTGGCCAGAGACGAATGCGTCTGCAACTTCCGATGGGTCTTGGGGCCACCCAGGGTACCGTTCCCTGCCCGCCTGGTGCCGTCCAGCTCCGAGGGGTGGCCAGAGCCATTTGGCAGTAGTGGGGTGCAGCCCAAGGGGTTTGCCTGAGGCTGGCCTGGAGAGATAAAAGAAGAAATGGTGAAGAAAAGCTGGGGACCACCAGCCCCTACATTCCTTCCCCCTGGCAAAGTCCATGCTTGAATCTGCCTTATTCTTAGATGCACCTGGCTAGTAGTAGCAGAGTTGAGCCTGGCTCCTGACTCCAAGTCCAGTGCTCATTCCCTCAAAGGGAGGTACATAGCAGGCGAGGGGCACAGAATGAAACCCATTCTCCTGCCCTTGGGGTGCTGGCATAGGGGGCTGTGGTTGAGGGGCATGGGACTGTGTGGCTAGGGTGGGGAGGATGGTGATGAAGCAGTTAACCTGTCCCTCTGTCTGTGCCAAGCCCCCAGCTGTTTTTGCCCTTGCCGTGCCGGGTGATTTATTGGAAACATCTGCTTGGAGGCGAATGCCTGGGTCTGGAATCCAGGGGCTCCTCACAGCAGCCCCCTGTGCCCGCACTGCCTGCCTCTGTGAGCAGCTGGCAGAGGGTTTGGGGCGGGGCCTTTGAGGCCTGAGTGAGGAGGAAGAGGAGGGAAGACAAAGGCTGGTGGGGAGACCCTTGAGGCCAGGACCCCCTGAGTCCCCATTCTAGGAAGAAGGACAAAGTTCTAGCTTTAGTACCAGTGTGCAGGGAACCTGCCCCTGGAGAGCCTCCCACCCTTGCCGCCCCGCAAGCACCTCATTCAGGTTGCCAGAGGTGAGGCCAGGTGCATGTGTTGGGTGGAGGCTGGCTGGGGAAGGGTGCAACCTTGAGCTGAGATGGACAGCTGGGAATTCAGGGTCCCCAACTCATGGCCAGGGCCCTCTAAACTGAAGGAGCCACCTGCATTTTGAATAGCGCAGGGGAGGGAAGTGGCCTCAGTGTTGTCCTTAAATGAGGGCATTAAGTCTTCCTGTGATACTGGCAATGATTGAGCACTTACTGCATGCCAACTGCAGTTCTAAGCACTTGCTAAGTATTCTCCCGGTGTCTCTATAGGGTAATAGCCTTCTTCTACAGTCCCAGAGAGGTAGAGTGAGAGAAGGAGACCAGACTGGAGACAAGCTGAGGTCCAACAAGGGCCTGGAGAACAACCGCTACTGTCACAGTAGTCTCTCCCCTTACAAGCAGCAGCTGGCATGTTCTGGGAGCTCTTGCATGCCAGCCAGCCAGACCTGTGCCTCGAGTTTCAAGGGGAGGAAATTCGCTCAACATCCCAACTTGAATTTTTCTGGCCCTATCGTACAGATGAAAACACCAAGGCCCAGAAAGGGTACGACTTGTCACAGGCCCTTCCTATAGCCCGGAAGAAGAGAAGGGAAACGGAGGCGAGGGCAAGGTGAAGGTTGGCACTCCCAGGGAGCTCCATGCCAGGAGCCTCGGGCAGCAGGTGTGACTAGGGCCTGCATCTGGGTAAACAGGGGAAGGCGATGGGAAGTGGCCAGACCTGAGTCATCCTGGCCTCGCAGAGGGGAGGACCAGGCTGAGTCCTTGGCCAGCTTTGGTGCCCCTTGCCCTGCTCCCTAAACATGGGCTCAGTGACCAGAGTGGGCGGGAGCATGTGGTGGGCTGAGGGCCCTGGGAGGCCCAGGCAGACACAAAGCTCGCCTGTGGCCTTGGCTTTGGCCGTGGGGGTGGGAGCTGAGTCACAGAGCAAACACTCGGGGCCGAGAGACACAGGAGTGTCTGTCCCACTCTCGGCCAGGCCTCCCCTCCACGGCCACGGGCTTGACCTGTTTCTCTCAATTCTGCTGGTGGGTGTGTCTGCCGGCGGCTAAGGACTGTTCGCTAGCAAGGTTTAGTAATCCTGCCTTCCAGGGAGTCCAGCTTAGCCCCAGATGCCCTGGCCCAAGGCGGTTCCTTGCTTGGCCATGCCAGCTGGGCAGGCAGGCACAGGAGTAGGCACCAGCAGGGTGTGAGCCCTCAGTCTCCCAGTGAGTGACCAGGGCAGAGTTGTTTTCCCTGGGCCTCGCTGTGCTCATCCGCAAAATGGGCTTGACCCTGGCTGTCCTGCTGTTTGGCCACAGGCTGAAGTGGAGAGCATGTGAGTTCATTCTGGGAAGGAAACGATTTGTCTGTTACTGCTACACGGTGATCCCAGCTGCCCAGTCCCAGGACTTCCTTGGATACCCCAAGGGCTTGAAGAACACAGCACAACCATGTTTTTTCTCCAGAGCAAGTGGGGGTTCCAGTCCTTCCTTTTCACCCTGGATGGGGTGGCATCCCAAGAAGCCCCTGGTTCTTCCTCTCCACAGAGTCTCCTGCTTAACTTAGACCTCTTGGAGCCTGCCCACCCATCACTGTCGCCAGCAAGCACAATGACATCGCACCCCCTATCTGTCCGCTGCTCATGCTCCCACCCTCAAGGGCCCAGCTAGGGGGGCAGCACCTGTAACATTTTGCCAGCCCACCTGAGTCAAAAAAAAAATTCCCTCCTGTTGCCACCCCGATCCCTCCCAGCCAGCACTCACATGTCACAGCTTCTGTGGGAACAGCAAGGTCAGTGCTGTCCAGGGCCTGGGGGGCCCCAGGGTCATTGCCTTGGGGCATCGGGGGTGCTGCCTCCTCCAGGGAGCTCGCCTCTGGCGCCGCCTCCACTGACTGCGTAGATTCTGTTACTACCTCCAGCCCAGGTAGCAGGGGCAGGGTCTGGGCTAGAGAAAAAGCAGACGAGTGAAGCACGTTTTCCCAGTGTCCCCTGTTTGTCCGGCTTCATCCCAGCAGGCCAGCAAGCCCAGTGGTCTCTCCAAAACAGGAATCTCCCGTCTTTATCCTCTCCAGCAGCAGGGCTGGACTCCAAGAGAGAAAGCTCCACCCACAACCTGCTGGTGTGTGTGTGTGTGTGTGTGTGTGTGTGTGTGTGTGTGTGTGTGTGTGTGTGTGTGTGTGTACGCGCGCATGCACACCTGTGCATGTGTTGTCAGGGAGAGGCAAGGACCAGCAATACCAAAGGAGTGAGAAGAGTGGCAGCAGCAGTGCAGGAAAGAACGGACAGATGGTAGGTGACAGCGAGATAGGGACAGGCACGGGGAGGGGCTGGGCCTGGGGGAGTTAGGAGCAAGGAGAGCCCAGAGAGGGAGACTGGACACAGAAGGTGAGAGCCACCAGTTACCCATGACAAGCAGGGACCAACTTGGCGACATTGTGGCCATCAGTGATGGACAGATGGGACAGAGCAGAGGCAGAGGTGGAGAAGGGAGCGCAGTGTGGCCTGGGAGACAGACATTGAGGAGCCGGGTCACAGCAAGAGGGTGGTGACCAGAGGCCCAGTCAGGGGAACCTGCCGGCCAGGAGCAGGGAGGGGCCCCAGGCAGGAAAGGAGATGAGGAGATGGCCCAGTAGGGCCGGTAGGGAGAGGTGAACCGCAGCCCTGTGTAATTATAGGGGCCGCGCCAGGGGTGGGCGGGAGGCAGAAATGGAGCCACCTTAAAACCCACAAGGTCACAGCACCAGAGGCCCCCCAGGGGCCAGGAGGAGAAGGCTAAGGAGGGTGGAGATGGCAAGAGGTGGGACAGGGAGGTGAGAGGGGCCTGGGCTCCCACTGGGCTTGGGAAAGCCTGGGGGTCAGGTGCAGCTAGGGGCCACAGGCCAGCCCAGGCTGCAGGGCTGGCCCTGGATTGTGCTGCAGGAACAAAGGTGGGGGGCTCAAGAGCATAGCCCCTCCCTGCCTTGTGTCTCACCATGGGGGACATGCAGAAACCCAGGGCAACCCGTGGGAGTAGGCAGCACCCCAAGGGGAGCAGCCCATGGCCCAGCTTCCTCCCAGGGCCCGGGACACCCCCTGTGGACTCATGGTGAGAACCCTGATCCTTCTTAGCCCTGGGGGGATGGAGACCACAGAGGGCAACAAGCCCCAGTGGGCATGCTCAGTCCTGCCCAAGGGAAACCTCAAAAGCTGCTCACAGGGCTGGGAGCAAAGCAGCCGACAGCCAAGGTGGGAAGGCTGGAGGTGTTCCTCCCAGCCCCAACCCTGAGCCCCACTGGCCCACAGTCTAGGCTGGCAGGAAGGAGGCTTGAGATTTGGGTCACTATGTCCAGCTCCTGACCATGACCCTGATGGGGGGATCCTGCCTCCCTCACATAGTGCAGTGAAAAAAACTTGAAGGAGCAAAGAGCCCACAGTGCCCAGGGGACAACCTTAGCTACGGAGTGAGACAAGATGGCAGCTGGGGCATGGCAGGTCTTGTGGTCACTTCCCAGCCTTTGGTCTGGGGTCACAATGGTGCATGGGGTGACACCATCAGTGTCACAGTAGAGTCGGGGCTTCTGGTTCCCAGCACTGGAGAGGGAGAAGGGCAAGAGAAAGAGTTTAAAGGTTAAGAAAAGTCTGGCACGGTAGCCTAGCAACTAAAGTCCTCACCTTGCACATGCTGGGATACCATATGGGTGCTGGTTCTAATCCTGGCAGCCCTGCTTCCCACCCAGCTCCCTGCTTGTGACCTGGGAAAGGAGTCGAGGACGGCCCAAAGCCTTGGGACCCTCCACCCATGTGGGAGACCCAGAAGAAGCTCCTGGCTTTGGAACAGTGCAGCTCTAGCTGTGTGGCCATTTGGGAAGTGAATTATCAGACAGAAGCTCTTCCTCTCTGTGTCTCCTCCTCTCTGTATATCTGCCTTCCCAATAAAATAAAAAAATAAATGAAGAAGAAGGAGGAGGGGGAGGAAGAGGAGAAGGAGGGAGAGAAGGGGAAGAAGAAGAAGAAAAAGATTGGAACCTCAATTCTGCTCACCTCACCGGGGCAGTCTCCCCTACAGGACTAATGACCTTCAGTCCTCGGGAAATTAGAGAGGGGCCGGACTCAGGACCAAAGGAGTCTTAGAGGAAAGACAAGGAAAGAGTGAAAACCAAGTCCAGCAACCTTGACCTGGAGACACACAGAGGGGCCAACATCTGTGCAGCCAGGAGTGGGTGGCAGTGGGGAGCCAGCAGGCCCAGGACAGGGAGTGGACTGCGCTGCTTGCAGAGACAGGGGACAACAGGGTGGCAACAGCACACGATGTCTGGTGCTTCCCAAGCTAGCCGGGGCAGGCAAGCCTCAGGGAACCAGGATGAGAAAGAAGGCGCAGCAGCAACAGCTACAGGAAGACCTGCTCTGCAAGGAACTGTCTCAGAGGCCCCAACATTAGGTCTTGACTGCAAAACAGCAGTTTTCCTTTATCACCTTAAAGAGATACACTGTTGTCTAGCCTTCCAGAAAGAACACCTCAGGAAACTCTTGGAGAGAAGGGATGGCAGCAGAGATCAAGGGCCACAGTATGGACATGCAATTCCTGCCCTGTGTAAAGGCACCTGCCAGTAGGGTGAAGTCCCCCCACCGTTGGAGTCTTGTCCCCCTGTATCACCTCTTTCCAAAGGGATACCTTTTTCTTTCCCTGCAGGAATGTTATACATGCTGGTGGCATCTCTGAGCAGACCTCCACCATAGGTCCCCACTTCAACAGGGACATACAGGAAAACCAACTGCCCCTTCGCTTCCTTCCACATATTCCCATTCCTAGGAACAGGGACCAGGTCCATGAACTGAGTTCCACCCCTTGTGAGAGGGAAAGGTCATGTTTACATCCCTGAGCCTAGGCTGCCATCCCATGTTGGAGTGCTGGTTCCAGTTTTGGCTGCTCCACTTCTGATCCAGCTTCCTGCTACTGTGCCTGGTAAGGCAGCAGAGAATGGCCCACTGGGCCACTGCCACCTACACGGGATGCAGTTCCAAGCTCCTGGTTTCAGCTTGGCCCAGCCCAAACTATTGTATCTGGGGAATGAACCAGCGTATGGAAGATTTCTCTTTTTCTTCCTCCTTCCCTCTCTGTTGATATGCCTTTCAAATAAATACATATTCAAAAACAAAACCAAAAGACCCCCAAACTGAAAAAAATCTGAGCCCATAGGCCCATGAGGGGATGCTATGAGAGACTCTGTCATGAGACCTTCCACCTGTGGTCCATTAAGTTGAGGGGTCATCCTGAACCAAAAGCACAGGGGGGCCCTTCCCAGACAGTGCCCATGGGCACTTTAAGCTGGTCTTGGGCTCCTACGCTGCTCCCAAATGTCCAGTCCTTTCACTGTCTTGGGAGACCATGTCTCTGGGCCAGGACTTCATCTGGTTAGAGAGTGCTGGCGGGCACCGACCACCTCCATCTCTCCTTAGTCTGGCACTCAAGGCCTCCACCTACATTTTCAGTCTAATCAATGGCCAAGGGTCCTGTGGTTGGACGAACTGTTCTTTGAGGCCCTGGGCCATAGCCAGCCCGTCTTACCAGCCTGCCTAACTAGAAGGTGCTATTCTCCATATCCAGTCCATTTATCCTGACCCAGCCTAACCTTGATCTTTCCTTCCAGAATGCCTTTCCTGGCCCCTGAGCCAGCAATCCCTCCTCCAAAGAGTCTTCTTGGTATTGAGGGTTTTTTTTTTTTTAAAGATTTTATTTTATTTTTATCGGAAAGGCGGCTATACAGAGAGGAGAGACAGAGAGGAAGATCTTCCGTCCGATGATTCACTCCCCAAGTGAGCGCAACGGCCGATGCTATGCCGGTCCAAAGCCAGGAGCCTTTTCTGGGTCTCCCGCGTGGGTGCAGGGTTCCAAAGCTTTAGATTAGAACTGGCGCCCACATGGGATCCCAGGCGTGCAAGGCGAGGACCTTAACCACTGTGCCACTGCACCGGGCCCGGTATCGAGGTTCTGTCTGGCACCCCAGCCCTACTGTAACCTTCCTCGGGTAGGGTGAACACTCACCCTGTCCCTCTAAAGTCTGCACTTGGCAAAGCCTGTGGATGTCCTGAGTTCTGGAGTTTGGAATGCCCCAGGTCAGAGGAAGGAGAGCGAGTGAGAGAGCTGCGGGTTAGAGAAGGCATCTGCCCTTGAACTCCCCAAGGGGGTGGGAGGGCATGTGGACTCTTTGATGCACACATAGTTGAATATGAATCCACTGGTGAAAGTCCCAGGCTGCCAAGTCAAGCCCCGTGAGCCATGGGGCGGGCCGGAGCTGGCCAGTCAGGTTGGATCCAGTTGGTTTTATTTTAGGTCTGAAGGCTCCAATTCCCCAGGACATTGAATTTTAGAGTCATATGCAGGAATGTGACGCCCTAGCGCTGAGCAGAAAACTGCCTGTGCGTTAGGGAGCCAGTCCCCTTGGGATTCTCAGAGCTGGGTGAGGAGGAAGCCACCAAGAGACTGGAGGGTGCTGGAGGTGTGGGACTTGGCCCCTGAACCAACCAGAATGGCCATGAGTTCCTCCTCTGGCCAGATCTGCATTTGGGGTGACCCAGGGAGGAGGTGACAGTGTTCCTGCCAGCAGGGTTCCTGGCTGCAGCGCTGTGGCCTCGCTGTTCTGTCAGCACTTGAGGAGCGGGGGTTGCTGGTCTGGGATTCAGGCGTCTGTGGGGTTTTGGCTGAGTTGCATGTGGTTTGGGCTTCCTGGGCAGCAGGCTCACTCTCCTAAGGCGGCAGCACAGCACGGCCTCCCAGCTATGAAAGCCACATTGTCTGGCACAGCCCAGGCTGGGGAAGGGGCTTGCAGAGGGTTGGGGCAGGAGTGGGGAACACTGGAGGACCTCAGGTTACAACCCAGGGCTCAACCCTCCCAGAGTCCCACCCTGGTTCCTGGCTCCTGGCCTGAGCAGGTTTTACCCTCCCCTCCCTGCGGCAGGGCTAAGGCTGAGAAGGGGTCAGAGGGAGGAGGCAGGAGAGGCGAGACAGAGCAGAGCAGAGCAAATGGGTAAGAGAGGAAGAAAGCAAGTGAAAGTGGGGGATGGGAAAAGGCAGGAGACTGGGAAGAGAGGGAGGGGAGCGGGGGCCCAGAGCAAGGAGGAGGCTCTTGGACTTGGAGAAAAAGCTCTCCAACCCTCACCCAGCTCTCCCACCTGGCTGACGCAGCCAGGATCTTGACGGATGGGACTGCTCAAATGTCCCCACTTCCGGCCCCACAGGGAGAGGGGGCGCAGAGCACTCTCCAACCCTTGGGACCCAGGGTCTCTTCTGGTTGCTGGCTCTCTAGTTTAGAAGGCCCCAGCTGCACAGCTGTGGGTACCAAGGTTAGATACTCCCTCCACACGTGCGCCAGTCCCCATGGATGCCTGTGGAGCCAACCCAAGGTCGGACAGCAGAAGAAATCATGCTTGGCCTTGTCCAGAGGGCCAGCCTTGAAATGAGAGCTTAGAGGAGAGGCAAGAATGAGGCTGGCTGGAAGGAAAAAAAAAAAAAAAAAGTAGCCCAGGAGCTTCCAGAGGGGACCCAACTCATGGAATTGGGGTCCCACACTCCTGCCCAGAGCCACTTCCCAGGACCCTGACTCCACCGAGTGCCCCAGCATAGGCCTTCCCAGTCTAGACAGGCGGCCAGCCCCTAGCCCAGGCCCCTCAGGGTGTGGCAAGCCTCTGCTTGGCTGGGAGGCTGCCTGGGAGGACCCTGCAAGGTGGGGGCAGGGAACTCTGGGTTGAAGGGGGGGCTTGTATGTCTCAGCCTGCAGGGTAAGGGGCCCCAGGACTGGCCGCCAGCAGGGCAGGAAGGCAAGGAAGGCAAGAAAAGGAGGGCCAGGTCCTGCAGCGCCGCAGTTCAGGACAGACAAAAGTTTTGGGGAAGCGCGCAGGACTCTGGCTGGGCAAGGGGAAGAGACTCAGACACCCCCACCGCCGCCTGCGGCCCCCGTAAATATTGACACACTGGGCAGAACCGACCGGGACACAAATCCCAGACGGAGGGGCAGGCGTGTGTGTGTGTGTGTGTGTGTGTGTGTGTACGCGCGCGCGCGCGCGCGGGCCTGGTGTTGGGGGTGGGGGAGCTGGAGCGACTTGGCGCAGCCGCTGCCTCCGTTGCGGACCTTGCCCCCTTGTCCCAGGCTTCTCTCCCCATGCTTGAACGCGGTCCTCCATACCCAGACTTCTCATCCCCACCCCTACTCCCGAAAGCAATCCGCACCCGCCCGCCTCATCTCCCCGGAATTCAAGAAAGAGGTGTGTGTGTGGGGGGGGGGAGGGTAGAACGGCCTGCTCCCCGCCCCCTACTCTGTTCCTCCATTCCAGGTCTTACCTGGGTCAGAGGCTGCGCTGGGGGCTCCATGGGGCGCGTCACAGAGAGGAGGGCGCTGGTCGCTCACCTGGGACATCGGCTCGGAACCTGCAGGAAACAAGACTCAGCGGGCAGGGGCCGATCTTGGCCACGCGGACGGGGCGGGCAGTGTGGGCCTGGACTGGGGGCGATCCCGCCGCACACGCAACCTCCCCCTCTCGTCCCGCACGACTGCACTCACTCGTGCCCGCGGCGCGCTACACCGTGGTCCCAAGCTGGATCACCGTGCGCCGCCGGCCCTGCGCGCCTGCCGCGAGAGCCCCTCGGCCCAGGGGCCACGCTGGGCTCGGCACTGATCGCCCCGCGCCCCCTCCCCTCTCACTCGCGCCTCTCGTCGCCCATTTCGGCGCCAGCTCCAGCCGCTCGCCCCCTTCGTCTTTCCTTCTCTCCCCTCCCCTCCAGCCCCTCGCTCCACCCCAGCTCGCTGCTCCCCTCCCCACGTCCCCGGCGCAGCCTCTCCCCGCCCCCTCCTCGCCTTCCCAGTCTCCCCGCTGCGCTCCCCTCCCCCCGCGCGGGGGCTCGGCTCGGCCCCCGGGGCCGGACACGTCTGTCCGCAGGACTGTCGCGGCCCAAACCCTCACAGGAAGCTGCCTCGGCACGTTTCCTTCTCGTTCTCCCAGCTGGGGGGCCCCCCATCTCCCCCAGTCCCCGTCCCCCCCCCCCCCCCCAGCGGGCTGCAGCACACTGGATCGCGCGTTTTCCTTCCGCCCTAAACTCCGATTCCGTAAAAGTTTTCACAGAGTCTGAAGAGAGAGAAAGCGAGCAAGCGAGCTAGCGCACTACTGACCACCGCCTCGGCCTCGGCATAACAGCAGCTCCCGGGTCTGGCCCCAGGGCTGTGAGCCATCCAGTTTCTCAGGCACCCTTTGTCATCACTCCTCGCCCTACCTCCCAGTCTCGCCCGGAGGGCCAGGGTCTGGGGCTCCCGGAGCGCGCCCACCCTCCGCTGAGGCTGTCCCCCGGGGCATCCGCGCACACACGCTCCAACCTCCCTGCGCCCTGCAGCAGTCCCTACCAGCCGTGCGTGGGAATTTGTGTCGGAAAATTGACTTAGTCAAAGAGAAGCCAGCGATCGCAGCTCAGTCCTGCTCGGGGCTGCGGGCTGGACTCCAAGCCTTCCAGGACACCGCATGCGTGCCTCCCCCGACCGCGCGCATCTGCAGTTGGCAAGCCGTGGATAGACACCAGCTACCAGGGCGGCCCCGAGGGGGCGTTCGGGGACCCTCGCCTGGGTTCACCAGATGGGGCTGAGCGGGCCTCGGGAGGAGGGGGATCCTCAGGTGGTGGGGCGCGCCTGCTTGACAGCGTGCCAGCCACATCTGGCCCTGGCTGCCTAGGAGCCGACGCCGGGCTCCTCAAGGGAGGACCAGCTGGTGGCATCGGTGACGGCAGGCCCTCTCTCTCGGACCCGCATTCCAGCCACCCCGCAGAAAAAGCGGAAGCCAAGGATGGGGTGACGGAATGGGGTCGAGGGACACTGTTTTCCCTGGACCTTCCCCAGTTCTCACCATGGCTACTTACAGCGCTCCCAGGTCCTCGGGTCGCCAGCGGGGCCAGGACCAGCGGGGGGGCCCCCACGGCGCCGGCCACGTCCCCGCAATGGGCTCGAGTGGCTGCGGCCGAGAGTAGGGGGTGCCGCGCCCCCTCTCCCCCCTGCTCACCGCCACAACTGCTGGCTACTGGGACCTGGCTGGACGCCCCAGGGAGACAGCCGCGGCGCTCTGACTGCCAGGCTGGGAGCTCTGGAGGGCAGCGGGGCGGACTCCCTCTTCCTGGCACGGGCTGAGTCACCAGGACGCTCCCGGGCCGGCGCTTGGCGGCTGCTGCGTTCTTACCGGCTTACCTGGGGCCTGCGGCCTGGGCCTCCCTCCCTCCCAGGGCAGTCGGCCCTTCTGGAGGACCCACTGCCCAGGCTCAGATCTCAGCGCTGCCCCGTTCACCCCCGAATCTCCCTCACCCCTGAAACCAGCAATTCAGCATCGCTGCAACCGTGCTGTATGTGTCATCCGAATGCTCCCAACACAGGTGCTTCTGTCCCAGGGCCTCAGCAAGCTGAGCATTGGAGGTACAAGCACTTCTAATTTCGGCAAGTGTGGAAATCAGCCCTCCACAGGAGAACACAGTAGGGCGACAGACCCTGCCAATAGGACCACAGTTAAGATGCCAACTCTGCCATCTGCCATTGTTTCTTTAGGGGACGGGCATCAGAGCCCTGGATATGCACCCCAAGGGCTTTATTATCCAGCTCTGGGACCAGGGGCAGGTCAAGTCAGGCACTCCCCTGGGTTGCAAGATGGAGCTTATTGAAAATTATTATTTTCTTTTTATTGGAATGGCAGAGCAGATTGCAAAGAGGAGAGACAGAAACAAATATCTTCCATCTGCTGGTTTACTGCCCAAATGGCCGCAGTGGTCAAACTGAGCTGATCTGAAGCAAGGGGCCAGGAGCTTCTTCTAGGTCTCCCATGTGGGTGCAGGGGCCCTAGGCTTTGGGCCATCCTCAACTGCTTTCCCAGACCATAAGCAGGGAGCTGGATAGGAAGTGGAACAGTCAGGACACAAACAGTGGCCATCTGGGACACTTTCAAGGTGAGGATTTGAGCCATTGAGCCATTGTACCAGACCTGAAAACTATTTACTGGTATCTGTTTATTTAAGAGACAGAGCTAGAGATAGAGAACTCATACCCACTGGTTCACTCCCCAGATATGCACACTGGGATGGAAGCTGCTAGCTGAGAATTCCACCCCAGAGCTCACAGCGAAGGTGGCAGGGCCCCGAGCGCTGGGGCCTTCACCTGCTGCTTTCCAGGAGCAGAGCCAGAACTCAATACCAGGCATTTGGACACGGCCCGTGGGTGTCCCAACCAGTGTCTTAACCACCAGGTCCAAGTCTCAGTGCCATAAATCATACTTCAAGGCAAGTTTTTTTGCAAACCGAATGGGCAGGCTGCAGCTCTGCAGGTCAGCTGCCTGGTTTGACCAGGTTTCCTTGGAGTCCTGCCCCGGGATTCAGGGGAAGCTAGGGAGATGGGCACTTGCAAATTCCTCATGGACTTTTCTGCATTCATGTGGACTTTTGGATGGAAAGGATACTGTTTTAACTAAGTTATTTGATGTTCCTGAAGTATCAAGGCCAGTGTTTCACTTAATGCATAACGTCACCTCTCTCCCTCCGGTCCCTGCCTGTCTCCTCAGGGCTCTTGGCCAGGATGCCCCGGCAGGTGAGCAGAGCTCGGAGATGCCCCCTCCTAACATTCTCTGTCTGTCTGTCTGTCTCTCTCTCTCTCACACACACACACTCTAGCAGGGCTTTGCACCCATGCCCAGGCCTGACTTCACTGGGGACCACTGGCCAGCTCTCAGTGAAATGAGCTCACTTGACTCCATGTAGCCTTTCTTATCGCCTTCCAACCACGCTGCACACCCACCCCTGGCCTGCCTGTTCCTCAGTTGCTGGACACATTCTTAATGCAGGGCCTTTGCACTGGCTCGTTCTTCCCTCTGCCCAGAGACACCCACCTGGCTTCCTTCCCCTTCCCTCTTGCTTCTATCATCATCTAAGGGTAACCATCTCAGAGCCCTCCATCCCTCCATCCCTCCCTCCCTGCCACCCCTACCCCTGGATCAGCCTTCCCAAACACTGTCCGCTTCTACCTGATGCTTCCTTACTCATTTCTTGGGAGACTGAAAGCCGTGAGAGCCTTGTCTGCCAGGGTCAGCCTCCCAACATTAGATGCAGGTCGTGCTGGCGGTCAATGGCAGGCTCTTCGTAAACTTCAGATTCTTAGACTGGTATTTGCTCTCTCCTGCCCCTCCAGGGGTAGCCCTTCCAGGATGTGGCTGTGGGCCCAGGCCACTCCCTCCCAAGGTAGAGCAGACCACTTCAGAAGCCTCCGCTGCATAGCCCCTTGCAGGCAGAGGACTCCCAGGGCCCAGCCTGGCTGCAGCTGCTGGCGCCCACCCCTCCTGGCGGCCAGCAGCAGGCACAGCTCTTCCCCCACTTCCTGTCTCTGGAGCGGGGCCAGCCAGCAGCTGGGCTGGGTTTTGCAGCTGGACTACAGCTGTGGTCTCAGTGCCCTGGGGGATGGGACATGGGACAGTCCCAGAAAAGGGGAGTAGTGAAAGGGGGGAATGTTGTGCTGCTGTGGGGGCGGTGTGGAGGGAGCTTGCTGGTTTGGGGTTGAGAATCCACACCATTCCCCCGACCCCTGACTCACCTCATCCCACCAAACATGAGGGCCCTGAGCAGGGAATGGGGCTCCTACCACCGCCTTCCTGAAGGAGAAGGCCTGCGGTGTGTTAGGGAGAGCCCTGGAGCACCAGGCCTGATTCTGTGCATTCCCTGTTCCTGGTGGTGTACAGCAAATGAGTCAGGCGTATTGTGTCCACCGGGCTTTTATTAGCTACTTCTAGACTTTAATACACACAAAGTTCAAGTAGTTCTGATCCTCCCACCACCCCATTTTACAGATGAGTAAACTAAGGCACAGAGCAGTAAGGTAAGTGGCTCACCTGCCAGTCGTGGGTAGAACTGAGTCTTGTCCAGCACTTTCTAAGACCAAGAACAGAGCTGGTTTGTATCCCAGGCACAGCCTAAGCACATGGTGAGAGCTATGATGTCCTTTGTGCTATGCCCACCCCAACCCGAAACTGGTCCCGGCAGGTGCAGACATGGCCCTCTGTGTCCCACTTCTGTCTCGTTGGCACTGGGGCACCAGGAACTCACCAGGGCGTGGTAGAAAGAATGGGCTTGCTTTGCATTCTGGCTGGGTCATCCCTTCCTTGCTGTGCGATTTGGGGCAAATTGTTTGCACTCTCCGAGCTGCAAGCTTTTTCAGATAAACCTGGGGGACACTGGGTCCCCACTGGGTTGTAGAGAATGGGAGCCCTTGTGGTGTGACATCCTGGACTCAGTGAGCAGGGAACCCTTGTCCAGCACTTACCTCTTCTGGCTCCTGACAGCCCATGGAGCGGCTTCACCCCAGTCCTGTCATACTGAACTGTGTTTGCCAAGCCTTGCCCAATGCTTCCCATGTAACAGCACAG